AAAAGTTGTGATACATTGAGAGATATGTAGGATCAAAAACCTCTAAGACACTCTTGTAACCCTAAATCCTAAACCCTAATCCTAAACCCTCTAAATCCTAAACCCTAGAAATATATAAAAAATAGTATACATATAATATTTTGAAACAAAAAAGGACATATACGTACATATGCTATTTAATATATTAGTATTATATCTAGGTGCCTCTATGTATTTATTATATATTTAATTTCATTTCACTTTTTTGTTTCCTCATATATTAATCAAAGACAATTTCTTGCGATTTTGAAAACCTCATAACTCCTAAATCCTAAAAACTTGCTCGAGACCCTAAGACCCTAGAACCCTAGAACCCTAAATCCTACAACCCTAAGACCCTAAGACCCTAGAATCCTTAACCCTAAGACCCTAGAATCCTAGAACCCTAAGATCCCAAGACCTTAAGACCCTAAGACCCTAAGACCCTAAACCCTAAACCCTAAACTTTAGAATCCTAGAATCCTAAGACCCTAAGACCCTAAGATCCTAGAATCCTAAGATCCTAGAACCCTAAGACCCTAGAACCCTAATACCCACAAACTTTAAGACCCACAAATTTTAAGACCCTAGAACTCTACAACCCTAAGACCTTAAAACCCTAATATTCTAAAACCCTAGAATCCTAATATCATAAGACCCTAAGACCCTAGAACCCTAAGATCCTAGTACTCCAAGACCCTAGAACCCTAAGATCTTAGAACCTTAAGACCCTAAGACCTTCAAATCCTAAGACCCTAAGACCTACAACCCACAACTCATCTAGTCAGCATGGATAACAAATTTGGTGACACTATACACCCAGGATTTGTTTTGGTGTAGCCAAATTTGGTATGCATTCCAACTCTTTACATAGTTCTCACATGATAACAAATATAAAACTCAGATTCCGAATTAAGGTCCCTAAACCCTAAAACCTGAAAAATGAAACTCATATTTTTGAGAAACAAAAATGTTTATAGATGTCTTTGAGACAATAGAAGGCTTGGCAAAATTTCAAACTGAAAAAAGTTGTGATACATTGAGAGATATGTAGGATCAAAAACCTCTAAGACACTCTTGTAACCCTAAATCCTAAACCCTAATCCTAAACCCTCTAAATCCTAAACCCTAGAAATATATAAAAAATAGTATACATATAATATTTTGAAACAAAAAAGGACATATACGTACATATGCTATTTAATATATTAGTATTATATCTAGGTGCCTCTATGTATTTATTATATATTTAATTTAATTTCATTTTTTTGTTTCCTCATATATTAATCAAAGACAATTTCTTGCGATTTTGAAAACCTCATAACTCCTAAATCCTAAAAACTTACTCGAGACCCTAAGACCCTAAAACCCTAGAATCCTAAATCCTACAACCCTAAGACCTTAAGACCCTAGAATCCTTAACCGTGAGATCCTAAGACCCTAGGCCAGGTATCGAGGGGGCATAGTATTGATAAGCCGGAATATCTAAGTGACAGGGTATCTTAGGGGATAAGCTTGAAGGGGCAATGTATGGATGGGGGTAGTGTATGGAGTGCTAAAGTATCATTAGGATAGTATAAAGTATCATCAGCATAGTATATTGTAGGGATGGAGTACCAGAGGCCAGACTATCGAGGAGGTAGGACATTCTACAAGCAGGATATTGATGGTGCAGGATATTGTTGGAATAGAGTATTTACGATGCAGATTGTCGAGGGAGTAGGCTATTCAGGACGAAGGGATCGAGCGGGCTAAATATCGACGGGGTAGAGTAGTATAGTGGGTGGAGCATCAAGGGAGTAGGATATCGAAGAGGGAGGGACTGTATTTTGAATCCGGAGAGGGATAACGGGGGGTTCACTTTCATGACAACAAGATCAGAACTCACATGCACCCATTTCTTGAAGGATCCCAAGTTTGCTTAGGCTGACTTTACGATTCGCTAGATGCACGACTTCTCCGACCAGACTACAAAGGTTGCAAAGGGCTACCATGAAGCATGTCGTATCGACGTCTACCTTGTCGGTTGGACTCACGGTGGTGGTAGATGCGGACTTCGATCCAGGATGAGGCCAGACGGGAACATCAGTAGGATCCATCTTGGCGGCGTCGACCTTGAACTCCAAAGATGAAGCATAACTTATTGCACATTACAAATCATCGATAGTTCTATAACATGTGGTGCTTTCATGTGGTTGTAGTCAAGCTTATACCGTGAAGAGGTGCACCTGGTTGCGCACCCTGCAAATAGATGTAGCTGCTAATCTTATAGAGTTGTACGAGAGCACAAACATCGAGGTTATCTTAGTCGTCCTAATACAGAAGTTACTCCGAAAGGTTCCAAGTCATGCAAATGTAAACTAGCGTACTTTTTGTTGTAACTATGATCTTGTTTTTAGTGATTCATGAAGTCTAGTAAAACAGATGCAATTTTGTAAAATCTTTGGCGATATGTAAAAGTCACCTATCCATCCCACTCTGCCAAATGACAGATCATTCGAACATCTTTGGATGAGAGTGTAAAGGAAGCACGCGCCCTCCTACATGATTTGCTGATGATTCTCATGGTACAATACGACGACTACTGCAAGCTTGCCGAATTCAAACAGCCCAACATTCACAGCAGGTTGGATGTGGCGTTCTCAGGGTGCTCCCAACTATAAGCATTGCCCCGCCTGATTTTTGTGCTACTTCGGAACCGGTTGTTGAGAAGTCACGAAGAAGGAGTCCATCCTGATCACATATTATACCTCCAATACTTGTTCAGGTACGTGATGTTTTTGTGGATCCTATACTCTGCTAGGGCCGAAGTGGACATGAGAGTCACATCCGGTTTATGGTGGAAGGACGGTGTGTGTGCACGAAAAGCGTGAGATTCTAGTCCCACGTCAGTTTCGTGAAAATCCCACTTAGCCATTTGAGGTATGTGGCTATCAACTCTATGCATGAATCTCACATCTTTTAAAACTTAGATCCTTAATTAAGGTCTGTAGATCCTAATTAAACCCTAAACCCTAAACCTAGACCCTAGTTCCGATTTTTAAATCCAAAAATCTAAAAAAAACACATATTTTTGGAAAATAAAAATATTTATAGAAGGCTTTAAGACAATGTAAGCCTTGGAAAAAATTCAAAACGAAAAAAAAAAGTGATATATTGAGAGAAATTTAGGATCAAAAACCTCTAGGACACTCTTGTAACCTTAATCCCTAAAACCCCTAAACCCTAAACCCTAAGACCTTGAACAGGGCCTTCACAGTACCACCCAAGGAAACCGTCGATGGCCTAGAATTGTCTTGGCCTCCTTTCAAAATTACAAGTAGGATAGGCTCGATGCATGAAGCGCACAGGGAGAAGCAGCCTTTTGAGGAGGTTGACCATCATAACAAGGTGATTATTTGCAATTTTGAACAAACTGTACGTGAATGTAAACCCGGTGAGTCTCCTCTTACGATTGGGTCAGGCTCAACACAAAGATGAATCCAAAAGAAATGGTAAGATGAGGAGATTGAGCTTTAGAAGCGGCAAGTCCAAGAGCATGGAAAAGGACATTGGAAGAAGATTTTGAACAACAATGCAAATCCATTATGTAGACGCACTGAAGTTGATTTGAAAGACAAGTGGAGGAACTTGGAGAAGTACAATAGGGTGTGAGTTCTTTGAAGTTACCACACTACTTGTATAAGTGTAGATTTACTTAATTAACCAAAATTTCTAAAATTTGAGGACAAAGCAAAACTTTTATGGATAAAAAGTTCATCAGTGCCTGTCAGGTTTAAAGTCTAGGGATTTTGGGAGAAAAATAAATAAATAAATAACAATATACTAGACAAGTAAAAAAGAAAAAAGAGAAAAGATATATATATATATATGTACATACATGCTGGAGAAGTGTAATTTATTATAGCTTTATTTTTTTAATAAATTATGAAAGGGAAAAAGAAATGGACACCATGGCAAAGAATCGGGATAGGGACTTGCAGTGGAACTGAGACAGGGGCCAAGACGTAGGAACAAGGATTTGATAGTGGTGGAGGAAGGTGGCACCTATTGATCGCTCCACCGGCTATTCATTGTGGGACCTTTCTCTCCGTCTTTCTTTGTCTTTCTCCCTCTCTATGTATATGTGTGCATGCGTCTCTCTCTCTCTCTCTCTCTCTCTCCCTTCTTTTCATTCAACACTCTCTTTCTTACCTTTTCATCTTCTATTTGTATTCCACGGTTTTGTGCTTCTCTGTCCGATTGTATCCTCACACACTCGCACACACACATTATCTTCTATTTGGCATTGCTCCCCTTGCCTTCTTTTTCTTTGATCCTCTCTTTTCCTTCGATCCTTCCACCTCTGCTGGATCATTCCCTCCTCTTTTGCCTTGCCCCCCTGGGTCAAGGGTTTATCTTTGCGGTGGTCATGTCCTCCTCGCCTCGTTTGACCTGCGGATCGGTTGCTTTGTCCCTCGCCGCTCCTCGCTTCCGACCCCTTCCACCTCTCCCTTGCCCATTTTTCCACCATGGATGTCGTTTTTGCCAAATCAGAGTCCCTCCTTCCCTGATCGTTCTTGGTATCCAAAGTGAGGTTTTTATTTTATTTTATTTTATTTTTTTCCATTGTGAACCTTCGACTCCACTAGGTGATGTGAATGTGCAGGTGTCATAGCGCATTATATGATTGTGGATTGTTATTAAATGCCCAAGTATTCTTTAATCCGGTGAGGGTTTCTTTTACAATTATTTTGGTTATTTTAAAAATTAAAAATTAAAAAATTTGTATGCATATATTTATGGTAAATATTTAAATAAATTATTAGTTATAAAAGTATTTACTGAAACAGGAACCCAGGAGAGAGTGTATTGAATGCAAAGACGAATCTCAATGACCAGGGTTGAAGCAGGGAGGTCAATCCGGGTATCTGTGAAGGCGGGTATGATGGGAGAAGGGGAGGCTTGAAGCTAGGAGGTTAATTTGGATAAATTTGAAGGCGGGTATGATGGGAGAGTAGAGGCGAGGATGACAGGGTATGAAGTATAGGGAGATGCTTCTCCTTATCGGTTGTTGTCGTCATCGTCGTCGCTGCATGTGTGTGTGTATGAGAACTCGTGATGATCACCTTATCGACGACTGCATGCAGGGCTATTCTTTGTGAGATCTCTCTCTGTCTTTCTGTCTCTCCCTGTATCTCTCTGTGTGTGTATGTGCGTGCAATTCTTTGTCTCTCTCTCCCTCCCCGCTTCTCATTCGACGCCCTCTCTTGTACCTTCTCACCTTCTCTTCATATTCCGCCGTTTTGTGCTTCTTCGTCCTGCTGTATCCTCGCTTTCCTTCTTGTACTTGCATGCTCTTCATTTCCTTGTGCGGTGCGGCCACCCACCTTCACTCCTCTTTGCAACTCTGACGAATCATATCTAATCCTCTTGTTTCCCATTGACAAAGATCCACTTTTGCACCTTGCGGTACTGCTGTCTAAACCCTTCTTCCTACACCCTGGTTGGAAATGTGTGCATTAGTGTTTTGGGATTGTAGCTAATTGGACCGAGAAGCAGCGGGAAGTAATTGGCATTTGAGTCATAATTGGCGTTTGAGTTGTGGTGGTGGTGGAGGTAAGAGGCATGAGTGTGTGGCATGGAGAGGCAAACCCCGATGATCAGGGTAGGGGGTCAATCAGGGTATTTTGGAAGGTGGGTATGATGGGGGAGGGGAGATGGGGATGGCAGGGTATGAAGTGTGGGAGGGGGAGATACTCGTCCTTCCCAGTCATTGTCGTCATCGCCATCGCTGCGTGTGTGTGTGTGTGAGAGAGAACTTTTGATGATCGCCCCACTAACGATTGCATGCAGGGCTATTCTTTGTGAGATCTCTCTTCTTCCAACTGTATCCTCACGTACACACATTGTCTTCTGTTTGGCACTGCTTGCCCTCCTTACCCTCCTTTTCTTTGAACCTCCTACCTCTGTTGGATTATTCCTTCCTCCTTCGTCCTGCCCCTCTGAGTTGAGGATTTATCTCTACGGTGGTCTTGTTCTCGTTCTTCCTGTTGATCGCCCCCTGGTCGTCCCTCTCCGCTCCCTGCTTCCGACCCCTTCCACCTCTCTCTCTCTCGCCTATTTTTCCACCGTGGATGCCGATTTTGCCAGATCGGATTCTTCCCTCCCCTGATCGTTCTCCTTCTCCTGATTGACTCAATTTACTCTAGTCTCATCTTCTCTATATTGCTCGGCCTCTGGTCGTGCCACCTCCGTGTTCATTACTGCACCCTCTCTATTTGGGTCAAAGCTTTGTTCTAGCTGTTGGCCGAGTGCGTGTAATGTTGTGTTGAGTGTTTGGGAATGAGTAGAAGTAAGGAAATAGTGTGTAGATTATTGTTGAAGGAGGGGACTGGGATTGTGTAACTTTGTTCTATTATGATTTACATGATACGCAATTTATAGGAGAAAGCGAGTTCATCTACTACTTTTCATGAAAGCGTGAAAGCCCTTGTAATCTGAGGTTTACGAGGCGCGAGTAATGTGGAATTGAATGGTTAGGGGCAAGGAAAAGCGAGAAAGCATCTATGATCCGAGGTTCATAGTTTGCTAGTATTGTTGTGTACTTGTTGGGAAAATTCATATGAACCTGAGAATCTTCGTAATTTGAAGTTGGCTGAGTGCATGTAATGTTGTGTTGAGTGTTTGGGAATGAGTAGAAGTAAGGAAATAGTGTGCGGATTGATGTTGAACGAGGGGACTGGGGTTGTGTAACTTTGTTCTATTATGATTTACATGATACGCGATTTATAGGGGAAAGCGAGTTCATCTACTACTTTTCATGGAAGCGTGAAAGCCCTCGTAATCTGAGGTTTATGAGGCGCGACTGATATGGGAATGAATAGTTACGGGCAAGGAAAAGCAAGAAAGCATCTATGATCCGAGGTTCAGAGTTTGCCAGTACTGTTGTGTACTTATTGGGGAAATTCATGAAAACTTGAAAATCTTCACAATTTTAAATTAGCGGGGTGGGTGTAACACTGTGAAGAGCATTCAGGGATGGATAAAAATAAAAAAATAAAAAAAATGTCCGTGGTCCAGAATTCATGATTTGTGAAAATTTGTGGAATATAAAATGTTTTAATGCATAATTGGTTGCACCGTATAAAATATTGATTCGATGGGCTCCGCTATAACTATGTACTCACTTATTCATTTTTCATAGATCTGTTTTATTTTATTCGAATTTATTTAATTTTACATGCATTTATTTCATTTTCCACAGGTTCATTTCATTGTGGACGATGGGAAAAAGGCGAAAATATGAGAACAATTTTGGCAGGAAAATGGAAAAAAAACAAAAAAGTCCCAACGATGGTTATGGAAACAATACGAGCATGGTATGGTGTGAATTTTGTGAATGTGAGGTCCCGAACAAGAAACCTTGTTTGGATCAACATTTTCAACCTGGTTCAAAACATGAGAGGAAAGAAAAATTGGCTTTATTCAAGAGTTTATTTGAAAAAGAAGGATTGGATTACTTTCCAGGCGGTACTACATATTATTGCCAAAAATGTAAGATGCAGCTGCCTAATGTTGTAGGTGAGTTGTTATACCATATTAAAAAATTTGCTTATAATCATGGCGATGACAAGAAATTGAAAACAATAGAATTTTCATTAAACGAAGGTGAAATATTTATCCAACGGAGTATGCGATTGGTTGATTGTGAAACTACAAATAAAGGTTTAACAGAACAATTGCTTCAACTCCCGCGTGTTGAAAGTCCAACAATATTAACTAGAAGTGGTTTTTTTAAAGATAAATTAATTGACTTGAGGAATGGAATTTTCACTCCTAAAGAACTTCGAGTAATCACAAAAATAGTATCATATCTTGAGAAGGGTGGGAGAAACTTATGCCGATCGCCAGCAAAAGAAAGTTCAAGTATTTCTATGTTTGGGATGCGTTCTGCTTATGGAGACACTGGTTGGTGAGTTTTGTATACGTATATATATATATAAATTTGATATAATAATTAAAATTTTTAAATTCTTAAATGTAGTAATATTATGTTTCAATGTTATTTGATTTGATTTTATGGTTGGGTGTTATATAGGTATATTCAAAACAGGCCAGAATATTATCATTTATCTGAAGAACTTGCGAAATATACTTGTCATATTTTAAGGAGGTCGTATGAAAGTTTATTTCAACACTTGGATAATATTGTGATTGCTGAAGGCTTTTCAAATAGTGGTGCTTGTATTGGTAATGGACCATTTACATCATTTGCTATCACGAGGGACTTCAATTGTAGGCCTCATCGTGATGAAGATGATTATGATTTTGGATTCATAATATGGCTACGCGAAGGTAATATAATACAACTTAGTTTTTTATTGGAATTTCCAGTATTTGTATGTAAATGTAATGCAATGTTTTTTGGTTTTTTTTTAAACAAAATAATTGGAGTGTTGATGTTTTAGATAACATGTTTTTTAACTTTAAACTTTTATACTAACAATGGATTATTTATTGAATTAGATCCATCGGAACAAAATGAACCGGCCATATTTGCTTTCCCAGAAGCATCGATTATGTTTGTACCCAAACATGGGGATGTTTGTGTTTTCAGGCCAAGTGAACTTTTACATTGTACACGGCGCCTTCAAGGAAAGGGCTTACTGGGTCTTGCATTTTTTCAAAAATGCTCACTTTACAGACAACTCGGGCGATTAATTCACCCCGACGGGCCCGGTATAATAGACTACAAAGATAAGAATGGGAATGTTCGTGTTGTTGAAACCCGAGAAGGATTCCTTGAAAAGAAACGTTTTTACGAACGACACTTGTTGGAAAATCAGTTCTCCATCAAAGAATTCATGGTAAATTTACAATGTTATATTACTTTGTTACTTGTTTATAGCTTTTGGTTTTGGTGTTTGATATTTATTTATTTTTATTGTTTTTATAACTTTTAATGCTTGTTCAACTAAGTAATAAGTACAACTAGCTTTGCATTGTGGATAACAAGCAAATGTTTGTTTGATAAGGGCAAAAAAGAAGACAAACAAGTATCTCCTGCCACTGATCGGGAGTAGTCTTGTAGCAGTGGAGATGGATATATTGATGGATATATCAACATTTGTGGTGGATTTTGATGATATTATTTTTGGAATTACTTTTAATATTGTGCTTAAGTAACTGTAAGTATTCACAGGTTGGAATGTGGTTTTATTCCACTGTTTATATTTTTTACATTATAATATAGCCTCATGTATTATTGTTATTATTTTTTACATTATAATACTTGGTTTGAAGGAATAATGGTACGTTATTTGACATGTTCAAAGTACATTTATTTCATTGAATGTAGTCATACACATTAATTTCCTTCCCTAACGTGTAATTTATATTGATGGTGAACTATGCCTGAGCAAAGCGAAGCCAGAGGAAACTTTGGTGGAGGCTCGTAGCAATACTGACGTGCAAATCATTCGTCAGACTTCGGTGTAGGGGCGACCAATTAATCGAACCATCTAGTAGTAGCTGGTTCCCTCCGAAGTTTCTCTCGGGATAGCTGGAGCTCGTGTGAGAATTTTATCAAGTAAAGCGAATGATTGGAGGCATCGGGGGTGTAATGCCCTCGACCTATTCTCAAACTTTACATAGATAAGCCGTCAGGGCAAGGAACTGGGACTGGGACTCGCAGTGGAACCGAGACTCGCACCAAGACTGAGACTCGCGCCCTCACAATGGGAGTGTGGATTGGATGCGACACCAGTTAGCGGACCTCGGAGTGGGTCCCAGTTTTGACACAAGTCCCAGTTCTACGAGCTACTCTTGGCATGAATTCCACTCCCAGCGCGAGTCTCAGTCCTACGAGTCCCAGTCTCGGTAAGAGTCCCGGTCTTGCGAGTCCCAGTCTCGGTGCGAGTTTCGGTCCTGCGAGTCTCAATCCCGGCGCGAGTCTTCCTAGTCCTGTAACTCTCAGTCCCGGCGTGAGTCCCAGTTCGGCACAAGTTTCTAAATTCTGAATTGAAATTTCTTGAATTCCTTCGAACTTCTTGAATTCTTTGTCTCCATAGACCAAGTTTTTATTTACTCTTTTTTTTTTTTTTTTTTTTTTTTGTTTTTTGATGTTAGACAAATTCTATTTTTAAATAATTATAACACTGACGTGAAAAAGTATTGGAGTGAAATGCACTTAGTTGCATGTGTAGTGAAGATCCCCGAATGCGAAAGTATTGTGATCCCCGGATACCAAACATTACACATCCGATGTTGACTACGTTTTCCTTCCTAATCATCCATCATACCCTCTAAACTATCCACTCATCTCTAAACTATCCACTCATCAATTTACTGGCTTTTCTTAACCCTACATACAATGTATTGTAAGACACAAAAATAAATAAATAAATAAATAAAATCCTACCCATTCTACCTGACCCCGCTCCCAACTGTGCAGCGTCCTCGCCAACAATGAACTGGTAAAACCTTTTCTAGTGATTTTCCGAACAAATTTTCTACCACTCTGGGCTCGCCGGATTGGTCAACTCCAACATTCACTGGAGGTGGTTCCCCACAGGTTCTGGCTCTAATGATGAGTCCTCGTCCTCCTCCGATACTTCCATCGGCTCTCTCCGCGATTAGACTGATAAGTCTTCATCGTACCCTAAACCCAATTCACGAACTTGGGCCTCCAATTGCAAAATCCTGACAACCTGGTTGCTCCCAATTGGTGCTGCTGTTGCCTCACCTTCTCCTCCAATTCACCGATTGTTGAAACTGGTGGGGCAGACATCCGTGACCGACCAATACTGGCTGGGTCACTCTCCAATTTTGTGACTACAGCAGCTTTCCAGGTTCCTATTTCTGCCCGTAACTCTTCCGTTTCAATCCAATATACTGGTCAACCAATATCCCCCCTTTTTCCTATTCCAGTATGGCTGCCTTTTCTCGTTCCACCTCCAACAGGCGCTTCGCCTCTTCCCGTCCCAGAAGCCATGCCCTGCGATTTTGGAGCAGTTCTTGCCTTTGGCTTTCCAATACAGTTCGAGTGTTTTCTTTTTTGTGTTGTCCCAGGTGTAGTGGGAATCTGCTTGGTAGCATCATTTTCACGGAGCTCAAGTCTTGTCTTTTTTGTGTTGTCCCAGGTTTAGTGGGAATCTGCTTGGTAGCATCATTTTCACGGAACTTGGGACTCGTTCGACCAAGTTTACAGATTTTCCTGTCCCACTTTGATAAGCACTGATGGAACCATAGCCGCGGCTAAACCTGGTTACTCCTTAGTTACCACTATCAAATGTGGCCAGAAGAGAAACTCCATCTTTGCACTGCAACCAACAACTTCATCGACAGTTTCTATTCCCATGGAGGACGCATTGAACAAAGGGCACATAGGAGTTCCATGGTGGCAATAATGCCCTTTCAGCATCAGATTCATTCTTTCCTACACCCTAAACCCTAAACCCTAAACCCTCCTCCTCCCCCCCCCTTCTTCCTCCACGTCCAGGCGACGACAAACAAGCAACTAACACTCAGTGCATGTGCTCAGACCGACCCTCTCACTCCCCTCCACACAACGACAGACAAGCAACAAACATTCAGTGCCCGGTGCCCAATCTCACCCTGTACACCGGAAGGAAAGGGAAGAAAATTCGAATGATGCATGGTGGGAGAGGGAGGGAGTGAGACACCGGGGCAAGGAACTGAGACAGGGACTCGCAGTGGAACCGAGACTCGCACCCTCACAATGGGAGTGTGGATTGGATGCGACACCAGTTAGCGGACCTCGGAGTGGGTCCCAGTTTCGACACAAGTCCCAGTTCCACGAGTCCCAGGCTTGGCATGAATTCCACTCCCAGCGCGAGTCTCAGTCCTACGAGTCCCAGTCTCGGTAAGAGTCCCAGTCCCGGTAAGAGTCCCAGTCCTGCGAGTCCCAGTCTCGGCGCGAGTTTCGGTCCTGCGAGCCTCTATCCCGGCGCGAGTCTCCCTAGTCCCGTGACTCTCAGTCCCGGCGTGAGTCCCAGTTCGGCACAAGTTTCTAAATTCTGAATTGAAATTTCTTGAATTCCTTCGAACTTCTTGAATTCTTTGTCTCCATAGACCAAATTTGTATTTACTCTTTGGTTTTTTTGTTTTTTGATGCTAGACAAATTCTATTTTAAATAATTATAACACTGACGTGAAAAAGTATTGGAGTGAAATGCACTTAGTTGCATGTGTAGTGAAGATCCCCGAATGCGAAAGTATTGTGTTCAGACTCACAACCGTAACCAAGTAACGTATTGAGGGCGAGGCGAAGTTGTGATGTGAGGCGAGGCGAGGCGAGGTGAGCCAGACTCCAAGCTCGTAAACCTGGTCGCATTGGAGGTGAACCTGTGCTGGATCAAAATTCGGCTGCTCTGTGTTGATCTGTTTTTCTTTCGAAGTGAAGTTGAGGCATTCTTGGGGCGATTTGAATCGATTTTTTATTTTATTTTATTGTTTTTTGTTTTGTTTTGGTTTGTTTTGTTTGTTTTCTAAAGTGAGTAACTGTGCTCCTTCGTTGTGTTTGAGGTTGAAGTAGGAGCTTGAAGGAGAGGGACGTTACATCGCTTCGCATGTTCCTTGTTAGGTCAACTCTTGTCTACTCCACCACCTGCATAACATGTAAAACGTTGTCCAAAACTCTACATGCTTCCATGTTTGTGTGGTGCATGGTTCCCAATTTAATTGTTTCATGGATTGTTGAAACCTGGTGTAGGATTGAATTTGTTTTGGGATGGAATTAGAAGATTTGACAACTTTTTGGCTCAATGAACATGGGGTTTGTTTTAAGCCTCCTCATGGTTCTTGTTTTTCATTCACTGCTGCAGTCCCTAAACCTGGTACATTGCATAAAGGAATCGGCCAACGTAATGACAGGGACGGAGCGGTGGGACGGAGCGTGCTGGTCCACAGGCCGTTGAGGTATTCAATTTCTTACAATTTGTTTTGCTCTAAACCTTGGTCGCAGCGGCATGTTTGGGAGATGCTCTGCACATTACATCGAGGTCTTGTAGGTATTAATGTAATAAGTTTTTGTACTCACGTTGAACTCGTTTGTGCAGGTTGCGGGGTTGAAGTTCGAGCAAGTTCGAGCATCGGAGTGGTAAGGGCTGCAATCATGGTCCTCCTTGCGAGTGGCAGGTTTACAAGTGCGTCTCGAGCTCGTACCATTGTGATTTCACTCTTGGGATGTGATTACTAGTGTCGCAATTACCTTTCTGCATTTCTTATTTTCATCATTCAAATGTGATTAGGGCTTGTCTCCTAAACCTCCATGGTTGGCGCGGGTTCTTTCTCCAGCACTCTTGGTGGCAGCCATGGTGTTGGTCGTGTATATTGCAAAGGTCGACAAGGCGACTACTACGTCATGGTGAGTCACCTATTGAATTGTTGTAGTCTAAGCAGACCTTTAGTTTTCATGTAGTTGTCTTCTTTTCAAACTTGACTCATGATTTATTTATTTATTTATGTATTTATTTATTTATTTTAATCCGATTTTGACTTCGTTCACATGCTGTAGGTCATGGATATGCTCGGACCAAGTCTCCGGGATGTCTAGAACTCTTCGGGGTCAAGCGCAAGTATTTAGGGCAGCTCGTTCTGATTGAGCAGGTATGCACATGGAGACGTGAAGCCCGAGAACTTTCTCCTAGGACAACCCAATACACCTGAAGAGAAGAAGCTTTTTCATGTACATCTCGGGCTTGGTGAGTTTTCAGTATCGTTGTGCTGCAATTCGTTCTCTGTTCACACATTAGCAACCTCCTTTGCTCCAATTTGGCGTTACATTTTTTTTTTTTTTTTTTTTTTGTTTTTTTTTTAACATCTGTTAACTGTTACATGAAGAGCATCTGGACTGAGAATTGGATGAGTTTATTACCGCTACGTCCATGCACAAGTCAATTTCACACCAAGATTAACGTCTTTCTCCCATATATGCAGCTACTCGATGGAGGGATGTTACAATCGGTCAGCATGTAGAATATGACCAAAGGCCTGATGTGTTCCGGTGAGGCTCTTCCCCCTCCCCCCCTTGTCCTGATCTGTAGTTGCCATTCCTGTTTTGGCGGTTGGGAGCGACTGTTTTGCTTTTGAGCTATATTTTGATTCTGTGTAATTTTCGTACATGCAGTGGAACTGTTCGCTATGCGAGTGTGCATGCACATATGGGAAGGACTGGGAGTAGGAAGGACGACTTGGGATCACTGGCTTATACTTTGGTATTCCTTATGCAGGGTAGTCTTCCTTGGCAAGGTTATCAGGTATTGATCAACTTTGTAGCTAGTAGCTAATGAAGAAGTGATCAGCTAGTAGCTAATGAAGAAGTGATCAATGCGATATATATATATATATATATATATATTTATTTATTTATTTTTCCTTCCTTCCTTCCTTCTTTCCTTCTCACTATTTTTCATTTGGACGTGCTCTATATATTTGGTTTTGTAGGGCGACAACAAAGGTTTTCTGGTGTGGAAGAAGAAAATAGCAACTTCTCCCGAAATGCTGTGCTGTTTCTGCCCGGTTCCGTTTTTAAACAGACGTTTTGGAGATGGTCGCAAATATGAAGTTCGATGAAGAGCCAAACCACGGCAAGCTCGTTCTACTCTTCGATTCCATCTTGGGTCCTAATCCTACTGTGAGACCCATAAACACAGACAGTGTTGAAAAGGTGCATTTTATGACCTTCTTTTGCTTCGTTTTTCCTGTCCCTACACTGAGGATTCTTTTTTTGAACCTACTCTTCATTTGATCATCATATTAATAAAGCCTTTTGTTTCTAGTGTTCCATACATGTTGGTCAGAAGAGAGGGCGAATCAGATGTTGAAGAAGATGAGGATGACCAACCTAAGAAAAAGATCCAGTTAGGAATGCCCGCAACTCAATGGATTACAACGTTTACAACGCTCGGTGGCCAAATGAAGCAGAGGTAAGGCGGTGCGAGCTTTCGTCATTGATGTGGTGTGATGTCGCTCAGTTAGGCATGAGCCCGGTCATGTGTGTATCGTCGATTTTGACTTTGTCCTCCTGGATGTCGATCAGCTATTCCGATTTCTACGACATGCGTTTACTTTCAGCAAGCAGCCTGGATTCGGACAAACCCATTTATTGAACTTTCATTCCTACATTTGTTTCGACGTGTAGGTATCACTATGATGCAGCTGATTCTTGGCTTACGGAGCACGTGGAAAAGGGTAATGAAGACGGTCTGTATATAAGCAGTGTGGCTTCTTGTACAAATCTATGGGCTCTTGTTATGGATACAAGGACAGGATTTACTGCTCAAGTTCATGAGCTGTCGCATGTATTCGCCATCCTCGAATGCATGTGGGTTTATTTAGAAATATATTTTGTGCAAGATTTTGCCTGCAGTCTCTTGGAAGGTAGTACAGGTTTTTTTTTCTTTTTTTCTTTTTTTTGTGTTGTTGTTATTGTTGTTGTTGTTGGGATTTTTGTGTTGATGGAGAATGTGGACTTTTTGTTCATTTCTAGGTTTTCAAGTTTTGTATGACACATTTGTTTTATATATTTTGTTGCTTTGTTCGGGCTGTTGGTCCATTTTGTGTATTTGGCCCTGTGTTGATCTGTTTTTTCTTTCGAAGTGAAGTTGAGGCATTCTTGGGGCGATTTGCATTGTTTTTGTTTTTTGTTTTTTATTTTTTTTTTGTTTCTGTTTTATTTATTTATTTATTTATTTATTTATTTTTGTGTGTGTGTGTGTGTTTTCTACGGTGAGTGATTGTATTCCTTTGTTGTGTTTTAGGTTGAAATAGGAGCTTGAGACAGAGGGACGTTACATCGCTTCGCATGTTCCTTATTAGGTCAATTCTTGTCTACTCCACCACTTGGATTTGATTTCCATAACTCGACTCTGTAGAAAACCATATCCCGGTGAAAAAGTTTCTAGTCTAATATCATGGAGATGGAAAATAATCTTAAAACAGAAAGCATCCACCTGCATGCATGACATGCAACGAAGGAAGATGCTGCATGCTTCTCACACCAAACACAACAAAGGATGACACAATTTGTAACCTTCGAAATGTGAGTCAGGAAAGCTGAGGGTCGGGGTCCTGTCGATGAGGTGCTTGTAGATAGCGCGTTGGGTGGGATGTATCAGAGGAGCCACAACTTGAGGGGCAGGAAGAGCGCCTAGTTGCACGCATTCAATAATTTCTTTTTGAGCCCGTCGAGCTTGCCGGTGTCGAGGGGTGAGTTCTCAGGGTTTTCGATGCTGGATAAAGAATCGTTGATTGAGGCGGGGAGCGGGAAGCGTGAAGTGGAGCGGGTGAAGCGGCCCTACGAGGGTTGAGCTTGAGGTCGGCGTCATCGCTGGAAGCCGGGGAATTGTCACTGGGGTCACCGACACTTTTTTATGCACTATTCAATAAGTTTCTGCCGTCGAACAACAAGGACGAGGAGGCATAGCCGGTGGTGGACATATATGGATCGATCAGTTGTGGATGTTTGAATTCAAGGTAAAGCGATGGACGAGGGGGAGGATCCATGATTGAACGGAGTGCCCGTTTGTCCACCCAGGCGACAAAGCTAAGCATTGCAATCCGCGGCAGTACCACTACTCGGGGACGGCATACTTGGACTTTTCGAAGGAAAGCTCTCAGAGAGGCGATGCATGCAAGTTCACGCACAGAGTGTTTGAGTGTTGGCTGCATCCGGCTCGATACTAGATGCAACCTTGCAAAGATGGGTAAAATTATCGTCGTTTGGGTGTGTGTTTTTTGCACACACGCTGAAGTAGCTCCGGTTGCTGCCTGCAACGGCACAAGCAGTGACGACGGGAGGTCGAAGCGGAGGAGGTTACGATGGGTCGCCGCGAGCTAGAGCAGCGGCGTGCTATGATGGGACGTTTGGATATGAGAGCTTGTCTTACGACGTAGCATCGGCAGGTCACGATCCGAGCCACTTGTCGAGGTACTCGAGCTCGGCCGACTCGGGTGGAGGGTATGTGACATCGTAGAATTCATCGCCCAGGTCGATGGTAGTCAAGTACAAGCAATACGCTGTGTTGTTGAGCCCTCCGTTGTCTCCCTCGAAGTCGCCTCCGCCATCGCCTAGGTCGGTTCAGGAATGGGGGCAAATGCGGGGTCATTTGCAAGCAAGTCGATGTCATAAGGGTAACGTGGGATGTTGCAAGCGACGCTACAGCAAGCGGCACAAGCTTAGGGACTAGGGGACACAAGCAGATGTCGGCGGTGTCGGCACATCGGCGACATTTGGAACATTTGAACTTGATGCCAACGCTGATAATACTCAAAACAGGTTCAATTGGAATCGGCTGCCGAGAGCAGGTCCAGTTGGAATTGGCTGCCAAGAGCAGGTTTAATTGGAATCGGGTGCCAAGAGCAGGTCCAGTTGGAATTGGCTGCCAAGATCAGGTTCAATTGGTATCGGCTACCAAGAGCAGGTCCAGTTGGAATTGCTGGCTAAGAGCAGGTTCAATTGGATTCCACTGCCAAAAGCAGGTCCAGTTGGAATTGGCTTCCATGAGCAGGTTCAATTGGAATCGGCTGCCAAGAACAGGTCCAGTTGGAATTGGCTGCAAAGAGCAGGTTCAATTGGAATCGGTTGCCAACAGCTCAATGCATGTCTGCCAATTAGAATTGCATGGCCGACAATTGGAATTGGCCGCCTTTGCTTGCTACCATTGCTCCTTTCTAGGGCCTGGCACGAAGTAACTTTAGGAGGTTGGCAAGCATAAAGGAATCGGCCAACGTAACGACAGGGACGGTGGCTGGTGTTGATGGCAATGAACACAACGGCATGAGACGAGGAATGAATGCAGCGTATGGGTATTGGCACTGCAATGCCCAATTGGGTGTGAATTGCGGACCAGGGTGGAGGGACGGGTGGGGGATTGGGAAATGTCTATCATAGCGTGAATCCTTTGTATTTGCTCCACATTTTCTCAGACCGGGTCTTGACGCCTCCTTATCGTACGTTTTATAATATGCATTTCAATGTTGGAACCACAGGTGCTGGTCGTGCTTGGTCGCTTGAGCAATGCGGTTAAGCTTCAACAACATCAAGAACATTAAGATCGAAGACGTAGATTACTACGAAGTCTGCAAGCCATCCACTCATAACCATATGAGCTGCACAAAGCTCCTAAACCTTGGTCGCAAATGGTGATGTCCAAAGCTGATGATCTCACAATAGATCAATACCTTGGTTTAGGGTACACAATTTATAGTCTTAGTCTTCGAAATAATAGCTTCCAGTGGCAATTTACAGGTCCAAAGTATACCCTACAAACAAGAGATGATCTGGATTTTTATTCCTAAACCTAAGTACCCTACAGTTAGTCGGAGAGGAAGATGGAATACGTACAAATATATGAGGTCATATGGCTAAAATCAGGTTTAATGAAGGAGCTTGGAACTGTAGTGTCAAAAGCAAAAGACACAAGTGAAGTCTAAGAGAAGTGGTCGACCATGCGTGGGACACCCAGTTGAGAGCAGTCCTCCTTTTTCGCAGTTCATCTCGCTCGTCGTTGTCACGGTGGAGGTTCAAGTCATGACAAGGAATGGCTGCTGCAAAGCGTTTGTCTTGGGTCGTCGAAACTGGCCACAGGAGTAGTCGTAGACCGAGAAAAGCTGACCATTTCGACAGTTGTGAACAGGAGGGGAATGAGGTGAATATAGTTGTGAAACATAACTCCCTCGCCATATCACCCTTGTGTAGCAATAACCCACTGGCTGGATGCCATTTGCACTTCCAATATCAAGACTGAAAACGCTTAGAGATACACTTTAGTTCTAGCTGCAGAAGAACAATACCAGTTGAATTATGCCACCACTACACCTTCATTTAAAAAAGTACGATTTCCGCGCAAAGAATCTATGTGTGTTGATTGAGAGAGAGTTTCCACTTTGGGTGCCATGAGTCATAATCAAGAGGCGACCTCTACGTCTTCCTTCACCCAAACCAACACCCTCATCTACTACCGTTTCCGTAAGGACCCGAACCATTATAAGTAGATAGTTGACAATTATCTCAACTCAAACATGAGGCGAAGCACAAAACTGTGAGCCGAACACACGAGCAGGTAACCATGCTGTGGAAATTATGAATTCATAGATGCGGGTTCATAGAAGTGAATATCACCTGTGAGGTCCCAGTCGCGATTAGGTTTACATCCAAAACCGGGCACATGCGCCCGCACAGGAGAAAGGCACATGAAGGGCGCCGTCCATCCCATACTGCCACCGTTCCCTGGATGCCACTCTCATTACTCTTTCCCCTTGTACGGGCTGGTCCAAAACCTGGTCGCCTAGTCTTCCGATCGAAGGCTGCCTTAGGCTTCACAGAAGAGCAAGATAGTGCGGCGCATGTCTCAACGAACACATCGTTCAGGTTTGCTTGCAAAGCACGGGGAGAATGAGCGGTCGGAGGGCAGTTCGAGGTTGGGAGAGACGGAAGTGTGGCCAATGAGATGCAACCGAGGGAAGGGGGTGGAGAAAGACGTGGAGTGAAGAGGAGCAGGGGCTTGCGAGGGAGACAATGGCAGTTTTGGAGAGGCAGCAGGTTTAGGGTTTCGTGGGGGGAGGAAAAAAGTCACCGTTTATGAGCGGCGGAGCGAGGAGACTAGCATCGGTGGATGGGGGAGTTGGTGGTCGCCATCGTTGTATGAATCGATGGGTGACTACATGCCTATGTCGCAGGATGTGCAAGCGCAGCATGCTGCTCGGCGGTGGACCTCGTTCTTATCCGCGGCGATGCACGATGCACAAGCGCCTCGAGATGCGTTGGGTGGGGTGTACCAGAGGAGCCACAGCTTTTGGGGGTAGGGTTTAGGGTTGCACGCACTCAACAATTTCTTTTGGAGCCTGCCGAGGTCGTCGATGTCCAAGGGTGAGTTTTCGGGGTTTCCGATGGCAAACGAGGAGTCGCGGATCGAGGCGGGGAGCGGTGAAGGGGGCTTTTATGAGGAGGCAGGAAGGGAGCAAGTCGAACGGACATGCGAGGGTTGAAGTTGGGATTGGCGTCACTGCTGGGGGCCGAGGGACCTGGTCGCTAGGATTACAGACATTTTCCGATGCGTCGTTCAACAATTTTGTGTCATCGAACAACGAGGACGAGGAGGCGTGGGCAGTGATAGACATGTACGGGTGCAATGAGTTCCGGATGTTGGAATTCTAGATGAGGCGATGTATGAGAGAGAGGAGCCATGATTGGACGGAAGGCCCATTTGCCCACCCGGGCGAGAAAGCTAGGCGTTGCAATCCGCGACGGTACGAGGACTCGGGGACAGCGTGTAGGGAGTTTCGAAAAAGGGAGCTCTCGGAGAGGCGATGTGTGCGAGTTTGGGTGCATTTAAGTATTGAGTATTGGCTGCATTTGGCTCGGTACTTGGACGCAGCCATGCAAGGATGGGCAGAATTAGCATCATCGAGTGTGGTTTTTGGTGCATACGTCGGAGCAGCTACGGTGGATGCCTGCGGTGGCAAAGGAGGCACAGGAAGCGACGACAAGAGATCGGAGCACAAGGCATCACGAAGGGTTGCCGCGAGCCGGTGCACGGGGGAGCTACGATCGAGCGTCGAGGTACGAGGACTTGTCTTACGACGGACCATGGGGACGTGACGGTCTGAGCCAGTCGTTGGAGCATTCTAGGTCGGCCCAGTGGAGTGCAGGGTGTGCGGCATTGTAGAATTCATTGCCTAGGTCGATGTTGGTGGGGCTTGCACAGTACCCGCTGCCGTTGAGCCCTCTGTTGTTGGGGTTGGTTGAGAAATGGGCATAAGTGTGGGGTGATTAACGAGCGTGTCGATGTCTGATTTTACAGAATCTGTAATGTGACTATAGGCGACACTACAGTAAGCGGCGTAGTCTCGAAGGCTGCACTCACGGATGCATCAGGGGTAGGCACCTTGGTCGCCTGCGGGAGTCTTGCAGAAGTCGAAGATGGAGCTGATATTGACTCCGTCAATGATGATCCTGATGGAAGGAGAGCCGGTGGTGCAGCAGGTGGAGAGCGGGCAAAGACATAGGGGCGAGAAGCCCGAAGGACTCTCTGGACCTGGACTAGGTGAACTACTTATCTATGGGGAATTGCTTTGAGTAAGCAGTGTTCTGTACGCATTTAGAGTCCATACACAGTTCTTTGATAAGAAAAAATATGCAAGTGAGAACTGTAATCAGGGTGTTGAGACCCTAATTAGGGTTTTCAAACCCTAAATTACAGAAAACGAAACACATTTTTTTGAAAAACAAAAACGTTTGTAGAGGTCTTTGGGTGATTCTAAGCCTTGGCAAAATCTTAAAACAGAAAAAGCTGTGATATATTAAGAGATATTGAGGATGGAAAACCTCTAGGACACCCTAAACCCTAAACCCTAAACCCTAGAACCCCAGAACCCTAGAACCCTAGAACCCTTGAACCCTAGAACCCTAAACCTTGGCCGTAATACGCTGTGTTGTTGAGCCCCCCGTTGTATCCCTCGAAGTCGCCTCCGCCATCGCCTGGGTCGGTTCAGAAATGGGGATAAATGCGAGATCATTTGCAAGTAAGTCGATGTCATGAGGGTAACGTGGGATGTTGCAAGCGACGCTACAGCAAGCGGCGCAAGCTCAGAGGCTAGGGGACACAAGCAGATGTCGGCGGTGTCGACACATCGGCGACATTTGGAACATTTGAACTTGATGCCAACGCTGATAATACTCAAAGCAGGTTCAATTGGAATCGGCTGCCGAGAGCAGGTCCAGTTGGAATTGGCTGCCAAGAGCAGGTTTAATTGGAATCGGGTGCCAAGAGCAGGTCCAGTTGGAATTGGCTGCCAAGATCAGGTTCAATTGGTATCGGCTACCAAGAGCAGGCCTAGTTGGAATTGGTTGCCAAGAGCAGGTTCAATTGGAATCGGCTGCCAAGAGCAGGTCCAGTTGAAATTGGCTGCTAAGAGCAGGTTCATTTCGAATCGGCTGCCAATAGCAGGTCTAGTTGGAATTGTCTGCCAAGATCAAGTTCAATTGGAATCGAGTGCCGAGAGTAGGTCTTGTTGGAATCGGCTGCCAAGAGCAGGTCTAGTTGGAATTGGCTGCCAAGAGCAGGTTCAATTCGAATCAGCTGCCAAGAGCAAGTTCAGTTGGAATTGGCTGCCAAGAGCAGGTTCAATTCGAATCAGCTGCCAAGAGCAAGTTCAGTTGGAATTGGCTGCCAAGAGCAGGTTCAATTGGAATCGGCTGCCAAAAGCAGGTCTAGTTGGAATTGGCTACCAAGAGCAGGTCCAGTTGGAATTGGTTGCCAAAAGCAGGTTCATTTGGAATCGGCTGCCAAGAGCAGGTTCAGTTGGAATTGGCTGCCAAGAGCAGGTTCAATTGGTATCGGCTGCCAAGAGCAGGTCCAATTGGAATTGGCTCCCATGAGAAGGTTCAATTGGAATCGGCTGCCAAGAACAGGTCCAGTTGGAATTGGCTTCAAAGAGCAGGTTCAATTGGAATCGGCTGCCAACAGCTCAATGCATGTCTGCCAATTAGAATTGCATGGCCGGCAATTGGAATTGGCAGCTTTTTTTTGCTACGATTGCTCCTTTCTAGGGCCTGGCACGAAGTAACTTTAGGAGGTTGGCAAGCATAAAGGAATCGGCCAACGTAACGACAGGGACGGTGGCTGGTGTTGATGGCAATGAACACAACGGCATGAGACGAGGAATGAATGCAGCGTATGGGTATTGGCACTGCAATGCCCAATTGGGTGTGAATTGCGGACCAGGGTGGAGGGACGGGTGGGGGATTGGGAAATGTCTATCATAGCGTGAATCCTTTGTATTTGCTCCACATTTTCTCAGACCGGGTCTTGACGCCTCCTTATCGTACGTTTTATAATATGCATTTCAATGTTGGAACCACAGGTGCTGGTCGTGCTTGGTCGCTTGAGCAATGCGGTTAAGCTTCAACAACATCAAGAACATTAAGATCGAAGACGTAGATTACTACGAAGTCTGCAAGCCATCCACTCATAACCATATGAGCTGCACAAAGCTCCTAAACCTTGGTCGCAAATGGTGATGTCCAAAGCTGATGATCTCACAATAGATCAATACCTTGGTTTAGGGTACACAATTTATAGTCTTAGTCTTCGAAATAATAGCTTCCAGTGGCAATTTATAGGTCCAAAGTATACCCTACAAACAAGAGATGATCTGGATTTTTATTCCTAAACCTAAATATCCTACAGTTAGTCGGAGAGGAAGATGGAATACGTACAAATATATGAGGTCATATGGCTAAAATCAAGTTAAATGAAGGAGCTCGGAACTGTAGTGTCAAAAGCAAAAGACACAAGTGAAGTCTGAGAGAAGTGGTCGACCATGCGTATGACACCCAGTTGAGAGCAGTCCTCCTTTTCCGCAGTTCATCTCGCTCGTCGTTGTCACGGTGGAGGTTCAAGTCATGACAAGGGATGGCTGCTGCAAAGCGTTTGACTTGGATCGTCGAAACTGGCCACAGGAGTAGTCGTAAACCGAGAAAAGCTGACCATTTCGACAGTTGTGAACAGGAGGGGAATGAGGTGAATATAGTTGTGAAACATAACTCCCTCGCCATATCACCCTTGTGTAGCAATAACCCACTGGCTGGATGCCATTTGCACTTCCAATATCAAGACTGAAAACGCTTAGAGATACACTTTAGTTCTAGCTGCAGAAGAACAATACCAGTTGAATTATGCCACCACTACACCTTCATTTAAAAAAGTACGATTTCCGCGCAAAGAATCTATGTGTGTTGATTGAGAGAGAGTTTCCACCTTAGGTGCCTTGAGTCATAATCAAGAGGCGACCTCTTCGTCTTCCTTCACCCAAACCAACACCCTCATCTACTACCGTTTCCGTAAGGACCTGAACCATTATAAGTAGATAGTTGACAATTATCTCAACTCAAATATGAGGCGAAGCACAAAACTGTGAGCCGAACACACGAGCAGGTAACCATGCTGTGGAAATTATGAATTCATAGATGCGGGTTCATAGAAGTGAATATCACCTGTGAGGTCCCAGTCGCGATTAGGTTTACATCCAAAACCGGGCACATGCGCCCGCACAGGAGAAAGGCACATGAAGGGCGCCGTCCATCCCATACTGCCACCGTTCCCTGGATGCCACTCTCATTACTCTTTCCCCTTGTACGGGCTGGTCCAAAACCTGGTCGCCTAGTCTTCCGATCGAAGGCTGCCTTAGGCTTCACAGAAGAGCAAGATAGTGCGGCGCATGTCTCAACGAACACATCGTTCAGGTTTGCTTGCAAAGCACGGGGAGAATGAGCGGTCGGAGGGCAGTTCGAGGTTGGGAGAGACGGAAGTGTGGCCAATGAGATGCAACCGTGGGAAGGGGGTGGAAAAAGACGTGGAGTGAAGAGGATCAGGGGCTTGCGAGGGAGACAATGGTAGTTTTGGAAAGGCAGTAGGTTTAGGGTTTCGTGGGGGGAGGAAAAAAGTCACCGTTTATGAGCGGCGGAGCGGGGAGACTGACATCACCGGACGGGGGAGTTGGTGGTCGCCATCGTTGTATGAATCGATGGGTGACTACATGCCTATGTCGCAGGATGTGCAAGCGCAGCATGCAACTCGGCGGTGGACCTCGTTCTTATCCGCGGTGATGCACGATGCAGGGGCGCCTCGAGATGACGCGTTGGGTGGGGTGTACCAGAGGAGCCACACCTTTTGGGGGTAGGGTTTAGGGTTGCACGCATTCAACAATTTCTTTTGGAGCCTGCCGAGGTCGTCGATGTCCAAGGGTGAGTTTTCAGGGTTTTCGATGGCAAACGAGGAGTCGCGGATCGAGGCGGGGAGTGGTGAAGGGGGCTTTTATGAGGAGGTAGGAAGAGAGCAAGTTGAACGGACATGCGAGGGTTGAAGTTGGGATCTGCGTCACTGCTGGGGGCCGAAGGACCTGGTCGCTAGGATTATAGACATTTTTCGATGCGTCGTTCAATAATTTTGTGTCATCGAACAATGAGGACGAGGAGGCGTGGCGAATGATAGATATGTACGGGTGCAATGAGTTTCGGATGTTGGAATTCTAGATGAGGCGATGTATGAGAGGGAGGAGCCATGATTGGACGGAGGGCCCATTTGCCCACCCAGGCAAGAAAGCTAGGCGTTGCAATCCGCGGCGGTACGAGGACTCGGGGACAGCGTGTAGGGAATTTCAAAAAAGGGAGCTCTCGGAGAGGCAATGCGTGCGAGTTTGGGTGCATTTAAGTATTTGAGTATGGGCTGCATTTGGTTGGGTACTTGGACGCAGCCGTGCAAGGATGGGCAGAATTAGCATCGTCGAGTGTGGTTTTTGGTGCATATGTCGGAGCAGCTGCGGTGGATGCCTGCGACGGCACAGGAGGCACAGGAAGCGACGACAAGAGATCGGAGCACAAGGCGTCACGAAAGGTTGCCGCGAGCCGGTGCACCGGGGAACTACGATCGAGTGTCGAGGTACGAAGACTTGTCTTACGACGGACCATGGGGACGTGACGGTCTGAGCCAGTCGTTGGAGCATTCGAGGTCGGCCCAGTGGAGTGCAGGGTGTGCGGCATTGTAGAATTCATTGCCTAGGTCAATGCTGGTCGGGCTCGCACAGTACCCGCTGCTGTGGAGCCCTCTGTTTTTGGGGTCGGTTGAGAAATGGGCGTGAGTGTGGGGTGATTAACGAGCGTGTTGATGTCTGATATTGCAGAATCTGTAATATGAGTATAGGCGACACTGCAGTAAGCGGCGTAGTCTCGAAGGCTGCATTCTCGGATGCATTGGAGGTAGACACCTTGATGGCTTGCAGGAGTCTTGCAGAAGTCGACGATGGAGCTGATATTGACTCCGTCAATGATGGTCCTGATGGAAGGAGAGCCGGTGGTGCAGCTGGTGGAGAGCGGGCATAGACATAGGGCTGAGCAGCCCGAAGGACTCTCTGGATTTGGACTAGGTGAACTACCTATCTATGGGGGATTGCTTTGAGTAAGTAGTGTTCTGTACGCATTTAGACTTCATACACAGTGCTTTCATGAGAAAAAATATGCAAGTCAGAACTCTATTCAGGATGTGAAGACCCTAATTAGGGTTTTCAAACCCTAAATTACAAAAAACGAAACATATTTTTTTGAAAAACAAAAACGTTTATAGAGGTCTTTGGGTGATTGTAAGCCTTGGCAAA